ATAATACCATATTAAATTCTGCAAGGTGACTCATTAACCTTATGGGAGGATTGTTTTCTACTTGAAAGTTCACAGGACTTCTCCACTGTGGTCTGAACATCTGCAGATTTCCTCAATAAGTCGCTTGAAAACTTAGTCTGATATGTTCTTTGTTGGGTACAAACTAAAATTTTCTCATCTAATCTGCTTCATTCTTCCTTCACGGCTTCCCTCAATACATTTTAAAATGGAAAGTTTGTTTAAAATCATTTCAAATAGACAAGGAAAGGCATTACTGGCACAATATCTGTATTCTAATATTTGCTTCCTAACAACTTCTTATAACCCCATTAATTCAACATTTCTCGCTAATCCATTTCATAGTTTGCTTTATATCAGCATATGAGAACATATGCTCATTAAATTTAATAAGGGACTTTACAGAGAACTTTAATTTAAAACATGTCATCATTCCCTTTGCTCCATTTTGGTCAAGTTTTGCAGAAATCCTTTAAAAATACTATCAGTCTCTTTACTAAGTGAGTCTGATTTTAAGAAGTTATGTGGTTTCTGGCTGTCCTTGGGCAGTCCCCAGAAGCATCTGTCAGGAAATGACATACCCACCCCTGCCTGCCCTGCAGAGCCCACACTGAGCGATTTGTGGGGAAGAAAATAAAGCAAGGCTTTATAGGAGGTGATTTACCCTCTGCTTTAGATGGAATGAATCCTCGTATTGAAGGGAATTTGGACAACACCGGAGCTGAAAGAGAAAGCAATGCACGTGTGAGCTCTGTTATTCAGGACAGCAATGCCTGGCTCGAGACCTAGATGGTCACCAGCCCTCCCCGGACATCCTGGAATTGCAAATAATGTATGGGAGGAGTGCAGAAGTTGAGGCAGGATTTTCCCTATCCAAGGCTAGTAGTCTGCCCTGCTGAGCAAAACCCTGGCCTTGGCCAGAGCCCAGTGCAAGTGAGAGTATCGCTGCCCCGATAGAGATTGCCTCAAGACTGATGGATGGCGGGTTATGAAGAACATGCACGTGCTGACTGACACACTTGCCTGTCCGTCCCGTTGTGGACGTGCTCTCGCTCTCTCCCGTGTAGTGGATGGCAGAAACGATCACCTTGTAGGCTCGATCAGGCAGCAGCGACTGCAGGGTCACACTGCTGCTTTTGCCAGAAGCCATGATCTACAGCAGGGTGGAAAAAAAGCCCAACATTTGGGCAGGTTTCCTGTTATAGCTCTTGCTCACAGCCCAGAGTTACATGGAGGGATTCTAGTGGCAAATCCTGGGACAGCGGGGCTCAGGGCAGGATCCCTGCTTAGTTCAGGCAACGGCGAAAGCAAGCCGAGGAAGCCTGGCTGTGGATTGCCATCAGACCAGCCATGTCCAAGGGAAGAGTGTTTCCTTATGTAAAAACCCCAATATTCCCCGTGCAAATGGGTCAGAAGTGCCTTGGTAACCAGTCTGGGTTTAAGTAGAAAATCTGGGGTTTAAAAGGTTAAAGTTTAACCTCCCTAAGTCAGAGGGGCAGTAGGTTTATCCTCATACCCTCTGCCTCCAAGAATTCCCCACCCCAGTTCAGGGAGGGGAGAAAGCTGCATTATTAACAGCTTTGACAGACACAAATATCTTAATCACGAAGAAGCCTGGAGGTCGTCTTCACAAAGCAACACACCAGCAAATCAGAGGAAGAGATTCGGTTTTGTACTCCTGAGAACCAGCCTTCCTTATAGTAAACCTCACTGGAGCGAGCAGAGTTCCCGTGGGCATGAAGTCGTCCCCACATCCCGCTGGTCCAGTGCCCATCACCTACAAAGGAGCTGGAGACTCACTGTTTGCTGAGCACCGGCATCAGAAACGGGGTTGTAGATGATTTTGTAGTGCTGTACACGGCCATCAGGTGGGGTCCAGTGGACCTGGAGGCTGGTGGGGGTCTCGGAGTCGATGAAGAGGTTGGTGGGTGGGCTCCGGGAGTCTGCAGCAGGGATTAAAGATGAACGGCATAAAAGGCAGGTAGTAACACCTATAAAGAGGGCCAGCAGCACTTGCTTCCAAGCCCGTTTCTGAATGCTTCAGTGCTCTGCTGCACTGTTAACCAGCGCTCGGAGCAGAAGCAGTCACCTTGGGGACCAGGCTAGAGAGAAAAGAGATCCTGGAGGGACGAGGATTGCCCGAGTACAACACAGTACAGCTCAAGCATTCAACAGTTCAGATCCTAGGAGCTGAAAAAAAATCTTGGAAGGAGGGCAGAGTCCTGGAAGCACAAGGTAAAGAGATCCTTTGTGTACATCACGGACGAACACCAAAGGACATCCTACACACCAAAGGATATCCTTCATAAAGCCCAAACTGCAACTGAATTTCATCAAAGATCTGGAGACACACTGGACAAACACCTTGCTTGCTGGTTAAGCCCAGATCACACTTCAAAGTTAATCCATTATAATTTCTAGTATTTTCCAGCTTTTTCTTTCTGTTTTAAAAATATTCTAAAAAGCCCCAGAGCAGCCCGGACATGACAGTTTTGTCTAGTGCTTCTCACAATAACACCCACAGCCTCGAGGAGGGGGTCACGTACAGTGCCTGAGCTACTCCCCCCTTTTCTGGCCCTGCACTGCGATGTACAGATGTACCCCAAATAGGTGATGGGCTGAGCCACGGTCAGCCAGAAAAGGGTTTGCCAGAGACCAAAGCTGAGCAATTTTTAATTATATAAATGCACTTCTTTCCCTGGGGTCCTGCTGTGTAGCACCTGGACCTGGCGACAGAGGCTGTTAATGCAGGAGTGATTTCTCTGAGCAGGGGCTGAGAGTTTAGCAAAAGAAAGGCAGAAGGGGCTAAATCCATCCGCTGTTCAAACAAGTGGCTCAAAGGGCGTGGGGTCGTCTGCTCCTGGAGCTTGTTTCCAACCAGCATCTTGCTCTGCATAAATGCACGTGTCCGGGCTTGAACCCATGGTGGTGTGAAGACACAGAAGTCTTGGACAGAGAAAAGGAAGCATTTTATTCAGAAGAGACTAAAAATGATGGGTGAGCCCTAAAGACAGTCAAGGACACACACCCAGGCTATGAGATTCCTATTCTGCAGTTTTACCTGTAAGGCTCTTCTGCCCACCCAGCAAAGTCTAGGGTGACCTTGGAGCACAGGCTGAATGAAGATCATTTGCACCTTCATTGATCCTCCTTCCCTTTTCTGTATAAAATGAGCTTACTTTTACTGAAGCTGAACCAAGCTTGCTGGCAGCTGAATCAGGCTGGAGGCTGTTGCTGTGCATCACCACAAGGTAAAGCGGAGAAGGAAACAAGTGTGGGATGTAAAGTCACTTCAGCAGCGCTATCATTAGTGCTGTGCTATACGTCTGCATCTTCGCTGGCTGCGTTGGCTATTTCCTTCAGCTGAGGTAAGTGGAGACTCTGTTTAAGTGAACAAAGGGACACGTAGGGGAAGGCTTTTGAGGTTGGTTATTCT